ATCATTATTTATCGTGCTGCTTACTTCGGGATGTTCGATACGGTGAAGACTCTATTTGCCGCTGAGAAGAAACTTAACTTCTTTATTGCTTGGGCTATTGCACAAGTTGTTACTGTTAGCTCCGGTATTCTTTCTTACCCATGGGACACAGTGCGCCGTCGTATGATGATGCAGTCGGGTCGCAAAGATATTCTTTACAAGGTTTGTTGAGTTTTTTGTGAAATACAATGACAGAAGAGACGGAAGCCTAAACAGTTACCTAAGGGTAAGAAGCAGTTTTGCAATAAGGCATACTAGGAAATCAGGGTGATGTAGAACAGTTTTAAATTGCACGGGGTGTACACTATTTCGGCAATTGGGTACTTCGACTTTTTTTTAAGGTGACATTGGCTTTACTGAATGTTTGTTACACAGTTCACGATGGGTTTTTTGGATTTCTGCCGTCTTTTTTTTTTTTCTGCCCTACTCGTTGGAAACCATGTCTTTTTCAGAACTCGTTTGACTGCGCTGTCAAGATTATCAAGCAAGAAGGTATGACTGCTCTGTTCAAGGGAGCATTGTCTAACATTTTCCGAGGTACTGGTGGTGCTTTGGTACTTGCAATCTACGATGAAATCCAGAAATATCTCTAATTCCACTGTATGCTTCAAATGATCCGCCCACATTGACTGATTGTTTGGTTGAGAGAGTAAAAAATTTAGTAGGATTGCATACTGTGTTCTCTTTATTTTACTTTGTCGTGTTTTTTTATTAGTTGCTATTTGGAGTGCAGAGCCAAAGGTCTGTGTTTACCTCGATCTTCGCATTGGTTGAAAAAGCATAAAATGATCTAAAAGGCCATTGTGTTTTCTTTTTTGCTGGCGCAATTTGCTTTTCACGCGGCGGGGCTTGGGCGTTTTGAACGAGTTGTTTGGAGCGCAGGTCTGCCGTTCTGATGCTCCTTGGTCTTGCCCTCCAGGTTTTTGGCTGCGTGGGATTCGGCATGCACTGTATGAAGTTTTATTTCGAAAGGCCCTTAGTAGGTCTCTTTAAAAGCCGTATGGCGTCATAAACCACAAATAGAACAGTATGATGGGACGCTGACGTCCACCCGCTAAACCAGGATATTAAGGAAACTAGTTGTCCTAGCCGCCTCCGCCGCTGACTTCACTGCTACAGGCCCGCCACTTTATGCGAAACAAGTTGGAGCGTCTTTGTGCTCCTGAACAGTTGAGGGACACGGGTACTAAACTGGATTTCTTTTGCCACAGCGGGGCGGACAAGGCACAACAGGTTTCTGATATTCACATTTCGCAACATTTACAATCAAACAATGTGAACAATTTAACAAATGAGAATCCCCTCGAACCGTCTTGGGCACAACTATGAAAAAAAACTATTCACCCGCCAAAGCCTGCTAGTGAATCTTCCCTACAGCATAGCGATTGGAGCGGAGGTGATTCACCACAGCAGAAATTAAGTACGCAAGAAAAAGAACACTCATTACTATGGACACTGGGAATCATAATAGTGAGATAGATATGGACAAAACTATGAATAATAATGACACACAAAGCTGAGACCCTTCAAAGAAAGCGCTGTGAACAAATTTCGAACGTTTTCCTCATCAAAGAGGCAGATTCAAAACGAATTCCAAACGCCGTTCAAACAAAATAATTTAACTCAGTACAATATTCAGGAGTTTGAAGAGAACTAAGAAGATTGGTAAACTGACCACCAGCAGCTCTTCAAGTTCAAAACTTCGTTTATTTCTGAGCATTAATCTTCAAGCAAGCTAAAGTATTCATCCGAACTTCAGTCCCTGTGTAAAACCCTCAATCGCATGACATATTAATACCTTACCCCTTTAATTTCTCCAGTTCCCTAAGGTTAGGAAGTTTTGATTACAGTCAAATCCCACACTAGCCACGACTTGTCTAAGAACCCTTAAAAATGTGCTCATTCCTTAAGAGCTAAAGCAAAGTATAGCACTTCTTTTCGACCCTGCATGACTATATCAGATATGGACACAACAGAAAATCAAAAGTTTTCTCACTCCAAAATTTAGTAGTTTTATATTTTAAAACCCTTTTTAAGCCCACTTCTGGGGGTGCAAGACAAAGCCATATCAAAACTGTTTTCCAAAAACTCCAGGCCGACCAAAAGCGTTAATACTAGTTTAGCTCGTGATCTGCTTGATAAGGCTAGAAACTATTAATTTTAAAAGAATATTAAGACTTTTGCCGGCTTGAAGTCAACCTTGGCATCAAAAAAAAGTAAAAATTGACTTTGGAGCCTCAGTTTTGCGTGAAACAACTCAATAGAAATCTCAAACTTTCACAAAAATGCAGATTAGATAGAGATTTAAACAAATACCCCAAAAACACAATTAACGGCGATATTTCTTCTTCAATGCATCAACAAAGTTAACCATTTTCAGTGCAGGTCCAAATGGCATTTCCAGATATTGCATCAACAAATCTGTGCTGAGCAACATTAGCGCTTGTCCATCAATTTGCTAGAAAAAAATGGTCGCATTACGACTTCTAGAGGAAACTGAACTAGTAGCTCAATAATAATCCAAGGTAAAGTAAAACTGAAAACACCCACATTCTGATGAAAACGGGTAGCTACGTTGCAATCAAAAGCAGCTTCAATTTCTCGAGCCACTCTATCCACCGACCAGTTCGTTAGAGCGTCTTCAGAAAGTTCTATTTCAAAACAGGTTTTTTTGTTCAAATAATTATAACAATCAGGTTTATTTTTCGACCTCTTATGGAGAATGAATTTGGATTTGGAAGGTTCACTCTACCATACAATGATGAAACTAGAAAAAAATCCTATATTTAACCTACCAGAGTTATCTTCATTTAGCATTTCATTTCTTATTTTACAGTTCTGACAGACGACTTGTGATTCCTGAAGAAAATTTGGGCAAACTTTTAATTTCGCCGTCAATTCGTGCAGCCGTTCCCAAGCTTCCGCTGCGGTTTGAAATATCGGTAAAGCACGGACGTGAGTTACACCATCTTCTTCAGCTAAACAAGATTATAACTGCACTAAACCCCTCCATACCATAGTGCAATACTTACTATAATCCACTGAAGCTTGTAGGTCAAAAAAAAAAAAAAAAAAAAAAAAAAAAAAAAAAA